TTCTCTCACAAGGTGACACTAGTATCCTTATAAACTTCATGAACATGCAGGGTTGACATCTCGAGATCCATGCTAGATTCAAAGGTGCTGTTTTCTGCAATGTTGTTCAGGAGGTTAAGGCCTTTTAAATTGAGGACAGCTAAGTTCAGCATCCTCTTACTATGTGGCACTAGTATTCTTATAAGCTACATTTACGTTCAGTATCGACATCTCGAGATCCAATCTAGACACAATTGCTGTATTGTGACAGCTAAGCTAGGCTTGTAGAGAGATGAACAGTATCCCACTTTTTTCCTGTTGGCAGTCAATTACAAAATTGGATGTGCATTAAGTTCAATGTACTTGATCGTATTATTTTATGGAAGTTGACGCATCAACTGCACATACAATTCGAATTCTAGATAGAATCATGTTATTCCTTTAATATCTGCAAATACCACTGCCATTGGGTGTAACCCAGGGTTTCCCAACCGATGGTCCGCGGCCGACAGGGGGGCCGTGAGGGTCTTGGTTTGATTGGTCTAAAAAATATATGCCAATAGTGACAAAATCATGGCTAAAATCAAAACATTTTTTGAATCGGGTGTCTGCAAGCTGTGGCTGTAGGAAAAAGTAAGTGGAGTTAGTATCGATGGCGCCCTAGCAATGCTTGGTAACAAATCAATATTTCAGGAAAAGATTATAGAGCTGTTTGACATTAAGAGCAAGACTTTGCCGGAACTAATGTTAAAAGTACTTGATTCTATCATCAAAATTGTTAACTATGTCCAATCTCGAGCTCTGAACACTCGTTTATTCAAAGAACTCTACAAGCAAATTAATTCAGATCACGTGGTTCTTCTTTGCTACACTGTTGTGCGCTGGTTGTCCAAAGGCAATGTTCTCAACCGTGCTTTTGAATTGAAGGACGAAATCAAAATGTTCTTGGAAGTCCAAGGGAAAAATGATTCCTTATTTAAGTGTGGAAGCTTGTTCAATACATTTTTGTGCATCAAAATTCGCTGGACTATGAACTACGAATCCTACGAAGTAAACTTTTCATTAAATACTTTACTAATGAGATTTTTAACCGATGGCTAGTTCATCTCAGAGGGCTAGCAAACCCATCTAATTCGCTTCCAAGACGATCTTCAAGCATTCAACCAAAGCTGGCCCCGAAAGGTTAGTATTGGAAATGTTGCCATGTTCCATGGACTCTGAAGTATGACTGACAAAAGAGCGAACAAGCTAAATTCGTATCTTTAATCAGAAATTATTGCTCATTTTCACTCACTGGATTATCAATGTGAGCTGTGTTTCCCTGAGCTGATACAAGAAGATGCTGATGTAGTCTGCAATCCGTTTTCTTCCTCAAGGGATGTGGAAGTCTTGACGAAACACAGGATGAATGCAGGATGATTCCTCATCTCGTGATTTGCTCTGTGAAAAAAAATTGAACCCGTGGTTCTGGCATGCCACGTCGTGTCCCAAAGTCTCCTAGCAGACATTGAAGATCCTTGTCCCGTTTGCATCTTCGTACGCAACTCTTCTCCACATTAAAACCATGACAAGAAACAGATTGAACGTTGACGAAGATATGAGATTGGCATGATCACAAACGTAGCATCGTAACTAGATTTGAGATCTACAACAATCGCACTGAACGAGTTGTTGACTGTTGTTAGCATAGTATTTTGAAATAAAACTTAAAACTAACAGATCAAATGAATAGTTTTTATTCATCTCAGCGTAATTTATACAAGGTACTTTTCAGGAGGCCGTTGAACACCCAATTGTTCACAAAGGGGATCGAGGAGCTGAAAAGGTTGGGAACCACTGGTCTAACCGAAGACAACATATCAAGAAGAGTGACAACTTTCACGGTTGACTATAAGACAGGCACGATCGCGTCATCTGCCAATCACGACTAAATACTCCGAATGAATTTGATAGCAAAGGTTTGTGAATATGCGTATTTTTCTATACCTTCCACCTTCGCTCAAGCACAGTGCTACTTTATCTGTCCCTTGGATTCTGGCAATGTTTTCTGACTTCTTGATATGATATCTTTGATCTAACTCTTGAATAGGAACTTATATTTACTAACTTCTTCTTCTTCGCATTTCAAGCTTATTGCATATCGCATAGCTTATAGCGTGCTCTCAACTTAGTGTTCTAGATGCACTTCCACAGTTATTAATTGAGAGCTTTCGAGGCCTGCACAATTTTTGCGTTGGTATAATTGTGTGGCAAGTCCAATCATACTTCTATGCCCAGGGAAGTCGAGAAATTTTCCAACCCGAAAAATTCCTAGACAGGACCGGGAATTGAACCCAGCCACCTCCAGCATGGTCTTGCTTTGTAGCTGCGCCTTTACCGACTGAGCTAAGGGAGGCCCCATTTACAAACTTATATTCCCTTTAAGCGTTCTCCAAAGCCGACGGATCAGCGGCAAAAAAAAACAAGGTAATGGAGAACTCAACGGAGAACTGATACAGTATCTTAAGTTGAAATTTACTTTATTTCATTTTCAAAATTTCAAACGCTTTTTTTTCAAATCATCACTTAAGATTGCTTGAACAAATCATCATTGCATTCTACCTGCCATCGGAAAGATGCAGACAAATTTTTCCCAAACACCTTGTCGGCCATTTGTTAGATGGGAAATGATCGAATAAGTTAGTGTCGATAACCCGGCCGAATAGCACTATTCGGTGCATCACTAGTCCCTATACGACTTGTTCATGCTTACGTAAAATATTTCTTAGGCCCCCTGTCTCCTATTTAAGAAAAATTATAGCACCCACCCCCCTCCTAAGTGCTTACGCGATTATTGAATGGCCCCTAAAACAGTAGCTTATCGTTCAAATTCAACCAAATTTAAACATTGCTCACGTGCACACTTCATCATCTTTCTACATTTATATCCAACTCCACCACCTCCACCGCCACCTTCACAGACATCGCAGAAAGCACAAATTAATTTCCAACAACGAAGATGCTAGTCGAATAATTAAAATTGAAATTCGGAGTGAAAAATCGTCTTCATCTTGAGAACACTTTCTACCGACGGCAGCTTCAACAATTTGGCGCTTTCGTTTGTTGACACAAGCTGGCACTGGAAAGATTAAAACTCAGCACTACTTTTCCAAGTAGGGCCCCTGCCCTTGCCCTCCGGTGCAAAAATTCCACCGAAAAATCCCCCGAATTAAGATGTCCAATCCACCCCCCTACTCTTCCGCCATCTCTCAGTCTCACTCCACTGACAGCGATTCTGGATAGTCCTCTGAGCAGAGAGTTTTGTAAAATTCTAGTTTAATCACTTTTCTGCTTGGACAATCAACTTTCGGATTAACAGATTGTGTGAGCGCGTGTGTTTGCGCGAGCTGTTCCAGTTTCTTGCTTCTGCTGGTGAACGATCGACGACGGTGGTGGAATTTTAATGGCAGTTGTTACTTTCGCCAACATCAACGGTGCACAATTCCTACAGTGTTGTTGAGAGCCAAGCGAGGGGAGGCGACATTTGGCCAGTCGGAAAAAGTTGTTCCAATAACTGGAGCACTTTCCACAGCAAGCGAGAGCCAGAAATTGAAAAGTTTTCCCACACCGACTGACTTTGGTGAAACATTAAATTCTTTCGGACCAACTTGACAAACTGAAAGCCACATACTTTCGAAGCTTTGCGGGCAGCAGAGCATGGTTGGCAAGGAAGGGGCATGTTTTGAATTATTGAACAGTCAGTCACTTGCTTCGGCAGATTGCGGCACCAAGAGAGCAAGCAAAGAGCGCTTAAGTATTTGCTGACATTTTGTCGATTTATTCCACTTGCTAAACAGTTCTTAAATGATTTGCAAATTTGTGTACACACCGAGAGTCGTTATTGCCAATTGATTTGTTTGTGCTTCGCAAGCCGGGGCTGAGCGTCTGGCTCTGATCAACTGGTTGAATTGGATTGTATGACAGACGGAAGCAGATTGGATTATTATAAATTTAGTTAATTTCGGTTTAAAGGATCACACAGTCGAAAGCAGACTTGCTGTATGCTTTGAATGAGTATGCCTAAGATACCCATCAGTCAAATCAGTCTGTAACCATAATAATTGAGTCAACTATCAATTTCTGATCGAATGAACTGCATTAACTATATCGATCAAAATCAAACAAGAACATACTACCAACCCTGCTCGTACACAGCACAAATGAGTCAATCCAACCGACTTCCAAACAATTCCTCATATCCTACGAATAACATGACAAATATGCAGAAAGTTCATTCCCCCCCCACAAAAACGCATCACAAAGCCTCAGGATCAGTGCACAACAAATGATAGCAACCTCCTACGAGTCAACTCAATCTCGCAAACCCACATCAAATGGTTTCCAGTTCGTACGCCATGAACGATTCCAAACATTTTCCCCATCAGCCTGAACCTCTACATTGTCTCTTCCGCTCAGTTTCAGGCACATTTTCCCTGGCAGAAGTTTCCCACACTGTGAGTGGGACGCCCATCAACCGAACACAGTCAGTCGGTAGGTACATGGTTCTACTTTCAATGTTTCAATACCGAAATTGTTCGTACGGTACTATAGAGTTTACTATCTTTCATTTCAGCCGGTTCGTCAAACAACTGTTTGAATTAAGACGAGAACACAACAACAAGCACTAACAAAAGTTCATCTGGTTCTCTTTCACCGAATTACGTAACGAAGCAAATCCATCCAAATGGGTTAACTTTCCAGAATATCTCCCGAAAGAAGCCTGAAAACAAAATCATCGATTCTATTTGGACAAATGCAGGTCAGTCTATCGCGGTCCAGGAGACTGAACCACCTCTCCGGATGCTTCTACATCGCGGAATTCCAATAAACAACAACTTTGTTCCGGTTGCCTTCCCCCGTTGGCTCCAGCCGCCAGCAGCGTCGGCATCGCTTCGGTGAGGAGGTGGTTTTCCCTGTAATTTAATATCAATCCCTCCCGATGGTACTCCCACTCCCACTGAATCTATCCCGTAGGTACTCACCTTCTAGATCCACAACGCGGCCGGCTCGTTTCAGTGCTCGAACCGCTTCCTCGTGTGTGGCGTCCCGCAGGTCCTCTCCGTTCACCGACAGGATCGCATCGCCCACGTATAGCCCTTTGGCATTGTCCGCCGCCATGCCGCGGAAGATTTTCGATATCAGGATGGGCATTCGGTTTTCGCGACCACCTTTGATCGAAATGCCCAGACCGTTGTTGTCGGATTTGATGACGCGGACCTGGTACGACGCCGGGGGAAAGGAAGATGATGAGAAATGTTGGATTAGTTGGAGCGATTTTCGATGGGAGCAATTAGCTTAAATCGAATACAAGAAATTAGTGGTCCGGAAATCGGAGAAAGGAAATAGCTAAAATAATAACACTTAACCCTTTGTCTGTACCATGGAGTCAATTGGACTCCATTTTTACTATGAATTTCATTCTAACGGGTGTTCAATAAAAAAAATGAGAATGATTTCAATACCTTTCTGTAATTAAAGCTGAACATTGCATTAGGTCCTAAGTAACATTGATCGATTCTCTTCTTCGACTTTCTCTATCGTTAATAACTCGAGCACAGAACCGTTTCTTAATGTGTTTTTCATATTGGATGCTAGATAAAAGCTTCTTTTGTTGATTTTTGTGCTGAAAATACCTGGGAATGTCTTTACATGACCGTGGGAATGCAAAGAGAAAGTCGACAAAGAGAATCTGTCAATGTTACTTAGGACCTAATGCAATGTTCAGCTTGAATTGCTCTCTGGACTCGCTAAAAATGGGTGGCATGTTTCTTTTCGCTCGGGTGCTGTCAGTTCAATCGAAGATGGCGTCGAAACAGCAAGCACTCCGCGAGCGCGTGGTACGGTTTTACGAAACGCATGGTCATTAGACTGATGCAAAATTTGACTTTTTCGCTCCACAGTGCTTAAATGGTTTCAAATCGGGTCCTGATTAGCCTCCCAAAGTTACAACTCATTTGGTTAGAAACAGACTTCGCACAAGCCATTTGAAGTTTACTTGTAAATTACTATGGGAAATCTCATTCTGTTCATTGCCTTCTAGTCTTTTTCCATATTGAGCTACGAAACAGTTCGATAGCCATTCTTATAAACAATTTTCTCAGCTACAACTTTGCTGGAGATTGTTTCTATGTAAAACGAGACAGGAAAAAGTTATTAATTATTTAAGAGGTTGGTAAACTTATGACATGATCAATCAGCTGCTCTGTAGGCAACACTGTATTTTGCAGTGTGACATAGTAGCCATGATTTTTGTGTCCTATTCAACGCCCCAGAAACACCAATGTTGCCTGCTGAGCAGTTGATTGAGCATGATCATAAGACATCAGCGCGTTGAACCATTGATAACTTTCGATCCTTGTATTTAATCAAAATGGTCTTCAGCAAAGTTGTAGCTGGGAAAATTTCCTACAAGCACAGTTGAAATTTTTTGAAGCAGACTTATATGGTGAATTATTAGGTAAACATGAACGAAAATCTTGGTTTTACCATAGTAATTCCCATACAAACTTCAAATGGTTTGTGCCATCTCAGTTTCTCACCAAATGGTTTCAAATTTTGAGAGGTTAGTCAGGATCCGATTTGGAATCGTTTAAGTATTGTGGAGCGAAAATTTCAAAATTTACATCACTCTAATGGTCATCGTGGAAAAAAGTTTACGGTAGACCACTTTCGAGACGAAAACGTGGCCGTGAGTACAGTTTAGCGGATCCTGGCATCCCTGAGCGTGGAGCGGAAGGCTGGTAGCGGCCATCTGGCGAAGATAATGACGAAGAAAAAGAAGGAAGCGATGAAAAAGCTGTTCGACAACAAGAACGGAACGAGTTTGCGTGACGCCGGCCAAAAATATCACTGCTCCCATACCTTGATTCACCGAACCCTTTAGATGAAGGGCATCATCTATCGGAAGCAACGGCGCCGGTGGTGTAGTGGTAAGCGTGATTACCTCTCACCCCAGCAGGCCTGGGTTCAATCCCAGTCGGCGCCGCCGGGATGTTCTGAGGCATAACATCTCTGATCACGCCTTCCTTCGGATGGGAAGTAAAGCCATTGGTCCCCGGTTCATGAGTTGATGTGTCGATAGGGTAGGGTCCAGGTGTGAGAGCTGCCTTCCTGGCACGTCGGTAGCATTGGTGATCAAGATCGACCAAGACCATAAACAAGATCGACGAAAAAAAACAAACCAAAGGGAAAAAAAAAAATCTATCGGAAGCAGACTCGGTCCCCCAAGTACACGGACGAGGCGATGGTGACCGTGAAATCGCAGTGCCTGTGGATGACGAAGAACTACCGCGGGACGTCGTTCGTGCTGGACGACGAAAGTTACTTTCTGCTCTCGAAGATCCACATTCCAGGAAATGACAGCTACTATTCCAGCGACAAGTTGGCCTCACCTCAATAAAAAGTTATGCTGTACATCGCCATATCGGACAGAGGGATTTAAAAGCCGTGGTTCAAGCCAAGCGGTCTGAAAAAATTCTTCTACCGTTCTTAAAGGAGCATCATGCGGATGAAAAGTACGTCTTCTGGCCGGCTAAGGCGTCTTCACATTGCGCCAATAAGACGCTGGAGTATCTTGAGCAGAAAAAAGATACCGTATGCCGAAAAAAAAAAAAAACCCGACCAACTTGCCCCAGTGCCGTCCCATTGAGGATTTTTTCGACTCCCTCAGTGCCCTAGTGTACAAAAATAATTGGTGGGCCAAGGATACGAAGCAGTTGACCACGAGGATCCGGAATTGTATCCGGAAGATGGACGTCAGTGCCGTCCAGCGCTCTTGTGAGAGCATCGCGACTAAGTTGCGTCGTACGGCTGACCAGGGCCCCTTCTCCAATATTCATTGACGTTTTTTGAAGAATAAACATTATGTTTTCAATAAAAAAAATACTGAATTCGTTGAAAAAAAAACATTTTTTTACTAGGTCTATGACTGAAAAAAATCTCATTTTTTATTGAACACCCGTTATAATATAGAGAAAAAACACATAGGACGTTTTGACTATTCAAGTTGTGCATCGGACATGTTTCTTTGGACGATTTTTCTCAATGACTTATGAGTGTTACATAGGACGTTTTGTTCTACATGATACTACATGATTTCCCTTTCACAGATTTCAGAATAGAGTACCTAGCCTTAGATTATTTGTACATGCTCCGCCTTTAGAAAATGAGCCCCAATCATGTTAGGCAGTCAAAATGTCCGAAGTAACAATCACGTACCCATCATTTCAAACTGTACATTGGACAATGTTTGACCTATGATAAACTTAAATAAATGAAAGTAAATTTGGAAGGGTCTTCGATGCCCTCCATCAATGATAGAGGAGTAATAGTTTGTACCGATTAATTCGATTTTTTTACATTTGTAACTTAGGACCTGTTGAAAAGTTACACCAGAAATGTTCAATTCACACTCAAAAAAGTGCACAAGTGTGTCTCACACTTAATTGAGCACTTATTGCGAATTTCATGTGTGAATCTTATGCTGTGAAACATGTCTCAACACTATTGGTTCGAATTGTGACACACTTGGAGTCTATGTCATGAGGATATCAATAGCTTTGCACATCATACCGTATGCGTGATAATGTTTGCACCATTGAACAATGTCAAAATTAAAAAAATTCTCAAAAATTTCGTTTTCGAGTTTTTTTATTCATTCAAAGGGGGGATGTTTCTCAGAGTCTTAAACTATGTTAATCATCGATCGAGTTTCCACTTGCTGCAATTACGGCCTCCACATGCTTCCGGAGATTTTTTGCCGAAATATTAATCCTAGGGACCACACACAGACCACAGGATGGTTCACCGGTAGATCCGGAAAATCCGTAAAAGTAGTCAATTCATGAAACTGACGTCTTATTAGAATTAATTCAGAGTTGTGACCGGAAAATGAACCCTTAGGACCACAGGATGGTTTACCGGTAGATCCAGAACATCCGTAAAAGTGGTCCATTCATGAAACTGATACTAGAGACCCATGTTTTATTTTTATTTTTATTTTTTCAAAACCACTCATCAACGTTTTATCAGAATAAATTCGGAGCTGTGATCGCAATATGTGTTGGAGGTAGAAACCTAGCAAGCGACGAATAATCGAAGCAACCTACAAATAAATGTATTCTCATAGTCTGAAATAAAATGCCATTCCAAGTTTGTCTCTCATCAAGCTAAGACGTATTTTCAAGTAGTAGTAAATCCGGTCTACGGCCATATCACATTCAAGAGGTTTTGGGCCCGAAGAAGTTCAAGATGGAAAGATCCGGAATAACGAAGCTGACGAACGAAAACTTCGAAACCTGGAAGCTGGAGGTGGAATTCCTGCTGGTTCGCGAAGGACTATGGAAGTACATCGTGCCCGGAGTCAAGCCGGAAGAGGCTGCAAACCGAGCGAACGCGGCGGAGCTGATTGCCTGGGACGAAGGGGATCAGAAAGCGCGTGCGACCATTGGGCTGCTGCTGAGCAGGAGTCAACACGGCCATATCCGGGCTACGAAAACCGCAAAGGAAGTATGAAGAATCTGGAGAAGCAACATGAAAAGAAGTCACTAACGTCGAAGGTTCACCTGCTGAAGCGGATTTGCGATCTCGAGTTCCAGGAAGGAGACGACATCGAGGACCACCTGGTAGAATTCGAGAGTTTGTTTGAAAAACTGGCCAAAGCTGGTACGAAGCTCGACGACGATTTGCAGGTAATCCTGTTGTTCCGCAGTCTACCAAGCTCTTTCGACGCGCTGACGACTACCCTCGAAAATCGGTCGGAGGACGAGCTGACGCTGGCCCTTGTAAAGGATAAAATTATCAATGAGGTGCAGAAGCGAAAAGGGACTGTTCCGGCGGATTCAGCGGTATTGAAGGTGGCCGGGAAATCGAAATCCATTGTGTGCCACCACTGCCAGAAGGTCGGCCACAAGAAGCGAGACTGCAGAATTTGGCAGAGGCAGAGCCAGGATGAAGTTTCTCGAAGTGAAAAATCGGTTGCCAAGGAAACCAAGAAGTTTGCCAAGCAACAGGCAAATGCAAGAAAAACGGAGTCCACTCAAGAGGATTTCGTTTTCAGCGCTCGTGAAGGACCAGTGACGAAATGGATCGTGGATTCTGGAGCCAGCTCTCACATGTGCGCCAATCGAAAGTTTTTCGTATCCGTTGAGAAACCACGAGATGATATCCCAAGTTTCGTTACTGTCGCTAATGGGAAGAAAGCATTCGTGAAAGGTGTGGGGAACTGCCAGATCCATTGCTACGGGAAAGACAGCGAAGCGAAGCAAATCGTGCTCACCGGTGTCCTGTACGTGCAGATCTGGATATGAACCTCGTTTCCGTCGGGAAACTCGTCCAGAAAGGCGCAGCAGTAGAGTTCAACGACAATGGCTGTACGATTGACAAAGGTACACGGATTGTGGCTGTAGCAAGGCGTAGCAACGGTCTCTACCACTTGCAGATGGAGGAACGCGTGGGTGCGGCAATTGAGCATTGCAATAAGAAGAACTGTTTGCATGACTGGCACCGTAAGCTCGGTCACCGTGATGTCAAGGCAGTCCAAGAACTGAAGCAACGACAATTGGCGACGGGCATCAATATTAAGCAGTGCGGTTTGGTTTTGCCTTGTGAGACCTGTCTGCAGGGAAAGATGGCACGACTGCCATTTCCAAAGAAGCGACGAAGAAAACGACGGCTGTGATGGACCTGGTACACAGTGACCTGTGTGGACCAATGAGGACGGTGACCCCGGGTGGTCGTCGTTATTTCCTGACGCTTATTGACGACCACAGCCGGTACACAACGCTGTATCTGATGCGAGAAAAATCAGAAACATTTGACGCTATCCAGGACTATGTGCAGAAAATGAAGACGAAGTTTGGCAGACCGCCGAAAGTGCTGAGATCCGACCAGGGAGGCGAATATCGTGGCTCGAAGATCATGACGTTCCTCAAGTGTGAAGGTATCCAGCAACAATTTACAGCAGCATATTCACCACAGCAGAACGGAGTCGCAGAAAGAAAGAACCGTTCCTTGGTGGAGATGGCCAGGTGTATGCTTTTGGAAGCAGGTATGCATAATCGCTACTGGGGAGAAGCAATCAACACAGCAAGTCATCTGTAAACATGTTGCCAACGAAAGCGGTTAATCAAACTCCGTAGGAGATTTGGCATGGAGTCAAGCCGGACGTTTCGAACCTGCAAGTGTTTGGAACACCAGCATACGTATTTGTTCCTGAAGTCAAACGATCGAAACTCGAATCCAAAGCCGAAAAACTTACTTTTGTCGGCTACTCGTTGCAACACAAAGCGTGGCGTTTCATCAGCATGATAACGAACAAAGTGACGATTAGCCGGGATGCCCGATTCCTGCCTTCGATGATCGACAAGGGGGAAATTTCCACAGAGGACGAAGGTACGTTATTCTTTCCGTTATCGCTTTTCAATCAAAACCGTAGTGAGACGGATACACCGGAGGAGCTGAGACAACCTGAACCAGCAATCGATTGTGAAATCACGGAAGAGGAAGATCTCCACGGTGTTGAAAAACATTCGGATGGCCTGTACGAAGATGCTGATGAAGCAGAAGCACTCGATGGAGGTGAGTCACAGGAGGAGCCGGTACCAATCCACGTAGAGCAAGATGTAGGTACACAGCGAATATCAACCAGGGTGACGAAGGGTATTCCACCTCAACGCTACTGTGCCGACAGTCGGGTTGCACATCACGACAATGACGAGCCGCGCACCTATCAAGAAGCTGTGACTGGTCCGGAGAAAGACATGTGGAAGCAAGCCATACAGGATGAATTGCAATGGATGTACGAGAACAACGTGTGGGAGTTGACCATGCTGCCGGCTGGTAAGAAAACCATTGGATGTAGCTGGATCTTCAAAAAGAAAACGAACGAGAATGGAAGGGTCATCCGGTACAAGGCGCGGCTTGTCGCTCAAGGGTTTACGCAGAAATATGGAGTCGACTAAGACGAAGTGTTTGCTCCCGTGGTGAAGCAAACAACGTACCGGACACTATTCTCCGTCGCCTGCCAGAAGAAACTTCTCATCAAACATGCAGATGTCAAGACAGCGTACTTTAATGGTGAGCTACAAGAACCCGTCTACAAGCGGTTGCCTCCTGGATGCACAGCGGATGCAGAAAACGAGGTTTGTTGTCTTCGCAAAGGATTGTACGGGTTGAAGCAAGCCGCCCGTATTTGGAACCACAAATTGGACAAAACGCTGATACAAATGGGGTTCAAGCCGTCCAAGAACGATTGTTGTCTCTACGTCATGCAGAACAGAGGGAAAATCGCTTATATTGTTTTATATGTTGACGATTTCATTATAGCATGCGAGACTGAAAACGACTACAAGGCCATCGTTAATGAGCTGAACCAATATTTCACGGTGACGTCGCTCGGGGATATCAAGCACTTCCTTGGTATCCAGGTCTTCCGTTCCGAGAAACACGTTGCACTAAGTCAGAGAGCCTACATCCAGAAGCTTCTGACCACATTCGGTTTGGAAAACGCGAAGCCATTGGACCCAGGCCACCTACATCCAAAGGAGGAAATCCCGCTGCCCAATAACCATCAGTATGCCAGCTTGATTGGTGGGTTGTTGTACGTGGCCATGTGTACTCGACCTGATGTTGCAGCAGCTGTTTCAATCCTTAGGAGAAAAACTAGTTGCCCATCACAGGCTGATTGGGTGGAGGCGAAGCGTATCCTGAGGTACTTAAAAGATACTATTGACCACGAGCTAATCCTGGGAGCCGATTCCACGCAATTGGAGGTGTACGTAGATGCCCACTGGGCTGGTGACACCAAAGATCGCAAGTCAACCACAGGCTACCTGATCCGGTATGCAGGTGGTATGATTGGATGGTGTTCCAGGAAACAAGATTGCGTAACATTGAGCAGTTCGGAAGCCGAGTACGTTGCTATAACGGAGAGCTGCAAGGAGTTATGCTGGATATTACGACTATTCGACGATCTGGGAATCCACACCAAGTTTCCGGTTACTGTGAACGAGGACAACCAGAGCGCCATCAAGCAACTCGAATCCAACTCCAGCGAGCGACGTTCGAAGCATGTTGACACGAAGTACCACTATGCGCGTCAACTGAAGGAGCAAGGAATCATCAGTCCACAGTACCTTCCAACTAACGAAATGATTGCAGACATGATGACGAAGCCTCTTCAACGTATCAAGCAAACGCGGTTTCGAGATGCAGCCATGATTCTTTCGTTGAGGAGGAGTGTTGGAGGTAGAAACCTAGCAAGCGACGAATAATCGAAGCAACCTACAAATAAATGTATTCTCATAGTCTGAAATAAAATGCCATTCCAAGTTTGTCTCTCATCAAGCTAAGACGTATTTTCAAGTCAACTCGGTATTGAACGAACTTTCGAGTTAGGGAGGAGATCGAGATATTGAAGGGGAGTTGTGGAAAGCAGCCTGGTTTTAAATCGAGTTAGGTAAAATATATATTATAGTACTAAAATTACATCTTAGGAGCCATTCAAATATTACCTGGTTCCAGAGGATGTTGTACCGCGTAAAAATGTTTTTTCCCCGGTAATATTTGAAAGGACCTTAAAAGACTTCTGCGTCTAATTTATGTTTTACTCATCTAATACAAACCCATAAGAAAAAATAATATCTAAATAAACTAATCAACAGTAAATCAATTTCAATGGCAACTCACATGTCGCTTCTGGTTCGCCACCGAATCAGGTACGTCGCAAATTTCGGCGATTCCGTTGTCGATGCTGTTGTTGTTACTGCCACTGCCGGCACTGCCCGCTCCCCCGCCGACCACCGCCCCATTGGTGCCATTATTGTTGAGGACGTGGCCACCGTTACTGGTGCTGCCATTGTTGTTATTATTATTGTTGAGGAAATTGTCCCCGTTCAGACTTCCTCCGCCGTTGAGTGTGCTGCTTCCGGCCGGGGTCGTCACTCCGCCTCCGTTGCTCAGATTCTCCGACGAGTGAATCGATGGCCCCGATGCACCCGCCGACGATGGCTGGGATGAATTGTTCGAACTGTTGTTGCCACTGTGATTGCTCCTGTTTCGAGATGAGAAACGAGAAAACGGAAAATGATGAGATGTGGTATACAATTTTCCACCCAATATGAGCGGGGGCAAATCGGACTGGGAGAAGTACTCGAAGGAAATTGCTTTCAGTTTATCGCCGCAAATGCGTTGCTGCTGCTGATGCTGCCCCAGAAATTCGAATGGATGAACAAGAGAGAGAGAGAGCGAGAGAGCCTTATTAAATATGGATTCAAGGGAAACCATTGCTCAACCATCAATCAGACAAATTTCTTCCCACAGCAGCAGCAGACGCAGTAAGACGGCGAAGATGGTTTGCCGGTTTCCTGGCTATAGAAGGGAAAGTTTCTTAGGGAAGCAGAGACTCAGCCACGAGAGTGAGCAACTTTGTAACCAATTTCTAGTTTTCTTGAACTTTGCCAGGATCTTGCTTCTTGATAGGTATGGTATGATAGGTACTTTTTGCTCTATTGTGTGGGAACGTAAACTTGGATGGATGGATGGATAGATTTTGGCTTTAGTTTGGTAAGTTTTAGTTGAAATTAAATAAACCAAACAAAGGCTCGAGTAATAGGGACGGCGAAACTTAGATGAAAGTTTGTTATTAAGAAGGAATAACTAAAGTATTTCTTTGCCATCATTAAACCAGGCTTCACTTGCAAGAAAAAAAATAGATAATTGGAATTAAGAATCGCTGCTCTGTTGCAATGTACTGTCACAGAATTAACTTAAAAAATCACTTATCATTATGTTCAAAATAATCTTCACACGAAGATCCATTCTACTATTAATATGGCATTATCTTAGTACTCGTCATCCAACAGTTGAGCATCTATCACAATTCAAGGTGTATTCCTTGAATTTTTGTATTACACTTAGAACGTTTGATGTTTTTGACCAAGCTATTTTGCATTAAAAGCCTTCTTACCTTTCTTCTTACAATTCCGATGGAAATCATCATAGCATTCTCTAAAAGTATTTTTTTGAAATTCTCATGGAATTGTGCTTCTAATTAACTTTGCATTCTCCTCATAAGCTACTTAAGTTCCTCCTATGAGTCCCATCGAAAGACTACTTTGACTTACGTATTAATTCTCCAAGAAATCGGCATGCAATTCCCTTTGACAAAGTTTCTTTGAATGCTCGTCTGGATTTGCACAAAGATCAAAATGAATGGAGCTTGAAATGCGCTAACTATTCTCTTTATACAAATTCTGAAAATTGATTACTTTGATGGTTATGGTCACTAACGTGCTCAGAGCTGGTAAATATCACGGCCGTCATGTGACGATGAGAAAACAGGTCCTCTCACTATCACGAGACGAAACTACCCATCATTAGCTTTCTTGTCATTTTTCAATGATCAAGCACTCATGAGAATAATTCTTATGCGGTTTTGACATCCACATTTCTAACTTCTTTAGATGAATTTAAGCAAACAACCGTATGTAATCGGTAGAGTGAATATGCTATTAAGATTTCCTCGGTACAAGTAACTTTAATAGCATTAAATGAGCTAGTAATTACGATGAACTCAATATTGTCACGTTCTGTCATAACAAAAAATACGATGAGATTTTGAAGAAAATCTCTTTTTCTCATCCAATGATAGTGACAGAAGTATCTCTGTAAATATCGCGTGAGATCTTTCATTGAAAATGACATTTGCCAGCCCTGAACGTGCTTATGATCATCAGGAAGGAGAAAGATATTTGGTTCGACTTCTGTTGTTATTAAAGACCAAATACACCTCTGCATCTCCACGGCAGAAGGCAAAAATGGTTTCCACCAGGCTACCGGGCTCCTTAAATCACATGAAAGAATGACGATCTTTTAAGGGCAAGCTTCTTCTTCTTCTTCTTCTTCAAGCTTTTTTCTTATCGCATATTAGCTTATTGCGCGTTATAAATGCACTGCCACACTTATTGATCGAGAACTTTCGATGCCAATTCCAATTTGTTTATGGTGTGGCAAGCACAATAATACTCTATGCTCAGGGAAGTTGAGAACATTTCCAAACCGAAAGATTCCCTCGACCGGACCAGGTTTTGAACCCACCGCCTCCAGCTTAGTAATACCGTACCTTTACTGACTAGGCTTAGATTTTTTTATTTATTGGAAAAAGTATCAAAAAGCTAAAAAAAATAAATTATTAGATAAAAATTACGTGTCAACCATTTTATCTAAGTCATCATGGCAAAAAGTTGGACTCAAGCTTTCGGTTATGTTTACAGTTCAAGTTTCTTTCATGATGAGATGGAAAAAATATAATTACATGAATTATGAATCTAATAATAATAAATAGACTATCTGCTGATTTTTAGCATTATTTGCTTTCTGTTAACAATTCCCGCTTCTGATTTCAGTTCCTTGAAACTCAATCCAAACTGATTGAGAACCTCGAAAACCCAACCTTCCGGGAAGCTGTGGCTCATCAATTTAAAACCACCCAGCAATGCAGATAATTTCATTGGACAATTGCCGGAAATTGATTTTTTCTTCTCCATCACTCCTGATCCCGTTTCAACGGTATATACGAACTCCGGAAGTGGCCATTATAACCTACCACCCCACCCATTACCCCCTTTGCAGCAGTCAATCGATTCGCCTTACCCACCGAGAATTATTCACACATTTTATTAGCCATTAGTTTCAATTATTTTCAATTTTCTATCCCGTTCAACATCCGGTTCAAATTTGCGCAAAAGTCTGTCGCTGCTGCCCGCATGGACCATAGGCTTACAGAGATGGCCGGAAATTTGTTCCCTTCCCCATTCATCCGCCACAATTCCCGCCCACATAAAAAGGCACAAATTTCCCAGCCTTGTAAAATCGTTGCAGCAGCCAAAACCAAACACACACGGAAGAGTGCTGGATTTTGAGCTTTCCAACTTCCACCGGGATTTGTAAAGCATCAAGTTAAAGTTGAATGAATATTTATACATAATCGTGGCCACGAACGAACGCCTGCATGGGTACACCAAATGGCAAACGCATTCGATCTGAGTGCGAAATTTTATTCGTTCCCATTCATCTTTCGGTCGGAAAGCTTTTCCCCTTTTTATTTCCTCTGGCCGAAGGGAGCTTGGACTAGTTGGTGACCTCGTCGTACGTGATGCACGGGGAACGATTGAGCAGCCGGAGCCCGCGAGTGGCCCGAGGCCTTGTGAAAATCCCACAGGACTGCCGCGTTCTCTTCTCTGCCATCTGCTGTGTTGTGGTACAAATGTAAACGGTACGTAGATGCCACCACCGCGTTTCAAATGTTTCGATTTCCTACAGACTTATCACTAGGTTAAGGCCTTTCAGCTGGGCCATGGGTTGGGGCACAGAGTATGAATTTTTCAAAAATCGCGCGCTCCTGCCCATGTTTGCAGAGTGCTTGGGCCAAATTGTTCCACCATTGGTACACGTACACCACTCACCCATCCGCACTGGAGTATGGAGTTGGTAGTCGAGTTGATTTGTTTTACGAGTCTAGAAGCTCCCGTGACGTTACGGGGCGGGATTTGTTTATATTTTATTAACCGCCGGAATTGAGTTGCGGAAGCCATCAGGAATGCATAATGAAACTCCCAAATCGTTTGCTGTAGTCAACTTTTTCCCGAAAAGAGTAAACATTAATTCCATAAAATTCTTTGAAAAGTTCGCTGACAATTGTGCTAGAGAATCTTACATATGCTCGGTTGGGGGTGGCAGTTGGGCCATTCAACCCATTCGTTGTTTGACTTGGACGATAAATCGTTGGCAGTACCAAAGGCCATGTAGGCACAAGGAATGGGTAAAAAGCAAAACAACCTACCGCAACGTGATCCAATTATTGGCTCGTGAGCTTGCGGTCGTTTGCACAACCTTCCTTTTTCACGGTTTATCCTGTTGTTTGCAGCAACCGCTTGGTAGACATGGTTGTTGTTGTCGTCTGCTTCGGGGGACAATGGTGAAAATTGATGGTTCAGCGGCTACGACCTGCTTACCGCTTCGGCTAGAGATTATTTTCCTCGAAAGCCAGACACGGATAACTTCACTCTTTGTACCAAAGGGATTCCGTCCTTTAAATAACGACACTACTCGCTTCTTTACTCGAACATACTTAATAACTCTTTATTCAAAACATTGTTATAATAAATCTTTCCTTATTTCGAAACATCCATGCAGGCTAGGTGGCAAGAATAATGGTTGGCACACCAAGGACCGCTTCTAAGGAAAATCAAGGAGAGCACGCTGTCGTGATGCTTTCCGGCCATTTTCAAAATTGCTGCTTGCAGTGAATGCACGACCAATCGCGGTACACTGCACATAAACATCATCCTCCGATCAAATGAAACCTCAGACCATTCAAAACAAAACACCGAAATCGCTTTTTCGCTTTCGCTGACGGTTGTTTTGAAATCAGATGATTTTCCTCTCGAATACAGGATGAAACTTGTTATGAGAAGGGATAGGGCCTTCAGTTGAAATGCGTAATGCTCTCTGCAGAATGACTGTCATACTAAATGGAAATTCACATGGTATTGGTTCAGCCCCATAACGCAAATCATTCAAAACGATGATGTAAATAATTCTATCGAACGTCATTTGTTGATCTGAGCTGACAAACAAGGTGGAAGCATATGCATCGCTATCAGAGCTGTTACGAACATAGGCAAAGGATGAAAACCAATGTTTGGCTAATTCGTCATCTGGTCCCCATTCACTGCTTGATCGTCAAGCAGTCCAGTCCGGTTTCGTCCGCTCTCTATCTTGAGTATTAGTTTTGTGACATATCGTTCGCGTCTCCCTTTCGCGGTGATAAGTGAAACATCGTTCGATCCCAGTATGGGAAAACCACCGCGTGGTGATGCGGTTGCAAGCTCGTCCGGGAAGCGTTCCCGTCAGGAAATCGCCAACGCTCAGTCGGCCTCGAAAAAGCTGCTGTCCAACAACCAGTACGCCATTCTGGAAAATGGTGATGAACCGGAAATAAAGAAGAAGGAGAATCTACCACCCTTTTTTGCCAAGGGATTCCCACCTGGA